GAGGCCGAGCCAGCCGCCGCCGCCCGGGCACCGGCACGCTGTCCAGAGGCCGAGCCAGCCGCCGCCGCCCGGGCACCGGCACGCTGCTCCTCTCCCGATGAATCCGTGGCCTTCCCGGGGGTCACCGGTTATTCGGTGCCGGTGTTGGCCTGCCCACCCCAGGGCTTCCCTGGGATGGGAAGGAGGGAGAGGAGGGTGGGGTGCGAAGGCTTTATCCGCCCTTCCCGGCAGAATCCCTTCCAGATGTGGGGCTGCCGGTGTTCATAACCCGGCCGGGTCACGGTGTCCAGCACGGGACGAGGGGTCCCCGCACGGATGGGGGTCCCACCCCCACCCCCTCCACCCGCTTCTCCTGCAAACGGCGCATTTCTTTTACCCCGCTTTCCCCAAACTCGGAGCGAGCACACGGCATCGCCTCCTCCCGTACCTCCGTGACGGGGGGACACGGCTCCTGTCCCCCCGGGATGAAGGGATCGGGGTGACGCTTCCCCTGCCCCCCCTCCCCGAGCCCCTCCAGCTCTGCCGGGCTGCGCAGCGAGCGCCGGCCCCTGTCCCCATCGCGTCGAGCATCCCTGTCGCTGTAGGTAGGGTTATGTCAGCTCTTTGTTATAAATCCTGTTCTTCGGGGGATTAGAGACTCGCTGCAAGCCAGAACTTGGCTCGCCAGCGGCGCAGCCCGGAGATTTTGGGGGTGAGAGGGGATGTGGCTGGGAGAAAGCGGGGTGCCGGCGGCTCTGGCGGGGCGTTTTCACCCCAAACCGGAGCAGAAATCTCTCTCCTTCCATTTCAGAGCCACCGATGAACCAGAAACGCCATTTCTTCCTCGCCCACCGGGTTTCGGCCGGGGCCGCGATGCCCGAGACCGGCACGGCGGCACCACCTGCGCCGCGCGGCACCTTCCCCCGGCTGTTTGCGGCGGAGGGAAACCCCGGCAAATAATTCATCACGCTTTACCCGGGCCCAATTTATCAGGGGTTTAATCTAGCGTTAGCAGTTAATCTTGCTTTCCCCCCGGCCGGCGGCCAAAGCAAACCTGGCGCGGCGCGGCGAGGGCCGGTGCCGGAGCCCGGGGGTGACGCGGGCCCCCGCTCCCTGGCCGTGCACGCGTGCACACACGCGTGTGTGCAGGCGTGTGTGTGTGTGAACACGTCACCGGACAAACGGCGTGCCTGTACGCTTGCTGGTGTCCCCGTGCGTGTGTGCGTGCACAGGCACCTGCGCGCTGTGCGCACACGCGTGTGCCAACATCTGCAGGCGTGTGTGCGCGCACGCGTGCCGCGTGCACACACGCGTGTCCCTGGCGTGCTTCCAGCCCTCTGCACACCCGCGGGTGCCCAGCTGGCAGCCGGCTGTGCCGCCGGTGTGCAAGCGGGCGCAGGGCTGCTCGGGGGGATGCAGGCAGATTTAGGGGGGTGCAGGCAGCTCGGGGGGGTGCAGGCAGATTTAGGGGGACAGAGGCAGTTCGGAGGGGGGGCAGGCAGATTTTGGGGGGGGGACAGGCAGCTCCGCGGGGGG